TTTTTAGTGTAATTTGTTGTACAAAATAACAATATTTGTATTGTAATATTGCGAAACGAATTTTCTTCAGTTCAGTAAAATTGTAAAATATATTTTGTAATTTTTTTAAACTGAGTTGAAATGAATTGTATAGTATAATTACAATACACCATTTTAAAATTACTAAACATATTTAGTATTTTTTTTAGCAAAATTACAATACCTGTATATTAATGTTACTGAACAAATTTTTAATAAATGCTTAGTGAATTTCAACAAACGTTTTGTAATTTTCCCAAAATGAGTTGTAATGAATCGTGTTGATATGCAGTGCTATAAATTATATTATAACATATACATTATGTTTTGAGGCGCGAATTCTAAAACACATGTTACGAATGATATAAATTTATATTTTCCCACGATACATTGCATTTCTAGAGCACTGTGCAGTCTCTACAAAAGTTGAAAAAAATTGTATTTTTGCATGAACGTTGGTGGCACTTGGACACTAAAATTAATTACGCCACTGTTATGTCAAACATGGTTTGCAAAGCGGAATTCATCATTTTTATATAAGAAAGTAAAAACTGCTGGTTTATGTGGTCTTGCGGTAATTTCGCTTAAAAGAAAGCTACTTACCAGCAACGCCTTTTAAAATTTATGGCTGCAATTAATTAGCAAAAAAAAATATGCAACGTAATAAATAAATAAGGGACATACGAAATTTTGTGCAAGTTTAATTGGTACATTTTTATTTTCGGCCAAAATTTATATTAGGTATACGGAATTTAATATCGTCAGTTTTATATGGGTTTTATATAGGATATTGGGTTATTGAAAACCAAAATAGTGGATTAAGTTACACATAAGATATGTAAGCTTTTCATCCCTTTTCGTATTACCCCTTCCAGCTAAAATAAATCCCTGTTTATGGCGGGCTTATCTTTCATTTCTCTTTATTCTCTTTTATTTTTGTTCAAGTTAAATATAACTATGAGTATATGAAATATACCGGCAATATTTTAGACACATAATATTTTGTTATGGTATTAATATTAGTCTTTCAAAAGGATTTTATCGTTTAAAATTATGTGCCATTCATGTTGTAATTATAAACAGAAGGTCAAGTTATATTTATACTATTTCATATCGCTTCAAACAACAATATAGTGATAAAAAAATAGTTAAATTATTTGTAATACATAGTAGTACACAAAAAAGTACTATAGGTACAAAATATTTATTAAATTAATATAAATATTTCATAATAACGGGCTTTCAAACTCATTTTAAAAACGCTTTTTGGGAAATCAGACAATATTTAGATAAAATTGAAATTAAAAAAGTGATAGTAAAAAAAATACCTAAAATCCTTAGGTATTTTATAAAATTAATATATGTACATATTTCACAAAAACGGGCTTTAAAACTCATTTTAAAAACGCTTTTTGGGCAATCAGACAATATTTAGATAAAATTGAAATTAAAAAAGTGATGGTAAAAAATTACCTAAAGTCCTTATTTTATAAAATTAAAATACGTATTTCACAAAAACGGGATTTAAAACTCATTTTAAAAACGCTTTTTGGGCAATCAGACAATTTTTAGATAAAATTAAAATTAAAAAAGTGATGGTAAAAAAATTACCAAAAATTGATATTAAAAAAGGGATTGTAAAAAAATTACCTAAAATCCTTATTTTATAAAATTAATATACGTATTTCATAAAAACGGGCTTTAAAACTCATTTTAAAAACGCTTTTTGGGAAGTCATACAATATTTAGGTAAAATTGAAATTAACAAAGTGATGGTAAAAAAATTACCTAAAATCCTTGTGCTATAAAATTAATATACAATTTCACAAAAACGGGCTTTAAAACTCATTTTAAAAACGCTTTTTGGACAATCAGACAATATTTAGATAAAATTAAAATTAAAAAAGTGATGGTAAAAAATTACCTAAAATCCTTAGTTTATAAACTATATTAATTTTATATATAAAATTAATATACGTATTTCACAAATCAGGCTTTAAAACTCATTTTAAAAACGCTTTTTGGGCAATCAGACAATTTTTAGATATAATTAAAATTAAAAATGTTATGGTAAAAAAATTACCCTAAATCCTTGTTATAAAATTAATATACGTATTCACAAAAACTCATTTTAAAAACGCTTTTTGTTCGATACAATTGAAATTAAAAAAGTGATGGTAAAAAATTTCCCTAAAATCCTTATGTTATAAAATCGATATCCAAATTTCACAAAAACGTGAAATATGGACATTTATTATTTTTTTATAAAATAATACCTATATGTATGTAGGTAAATTTATTATAAAAATAATATAATATATGTACATATTTCACAATAACGGGCTTTAAAACTCATTTTAAAAATGCTTTTTGGAAGATTTTTAGATAAAATTCAAATTAAAAATTTCACAAAAACGGGCTTTAAAACTCATTTAAAAAACGCTTTTTTGGCGATAAAACACATTTTTTAGATATAATTAAAATTAAAAAAGTGATGGTAAAAAATGTTTCAAAAATCCTTACTTTTATAAATAACACTTAAATTAAAAAATTTACCATACAAATTTGTATAATTAAATATAATTGCTTGATTCAGTACCTATTTCATTTCAACACACAATTTATAGAATGTTTCGGTATAGTAAAATTAAAGTGTTTTGCCATTTATAAATATTTTCTATACTATAGTATAGGTATGAATGTTAATTTTTTGAAAATTTACTGCAATACTTGTAAAGCCGCATGTATACCATTAAAAAAGAGAAAAGTAAATTTTTAATGATCGCTTTTCTCATTTATATAAATAGATTCAGCCGTTTACGATTTTATGGGAATTGCTTAAGCATTTTCTTTGATATTTCAGGGAGACAATATGCATGCACATGTTGTTTTTTTTATTCTAAATTATTTAGATCGCCGCGGCGCTTAGATTAAATGCGGCGTTTACGACTTTTTTACTGTCTTCCTGAAGATTTGTTATTGTCTAGGTTTTTTCAAGATATGTTAGTTTAATTATTATTATTATTTGGGTAGTTTATGCTGTGGTTATACTAAAACTGTGTAAAATTTACAAATAGTTTTTGCTTCAAAACAGTTAGGTTTGTTTGTTTCAAATCCTGAACAATGCTCTTCAGTTTTCACCGTTGATAAGGTCGCTGAAAAGCCCGTTTTCAGCGTAAAATATTAACAAACTCTTTTGAAAACTTTGAAATCGTTTTTGGCGAAATACAGTTGTGCAAAAATTTTTAATAATCTCCGTGAAATTTTAATTAAATATTTCGTTTGCATACAGAAATATTTGCATCATATGGTTATTATAATGTTAATGAAGTGGTTACATTTTTTATATTTTTGTAATAAAGTTATTTTATTACGTGTCATAAAGTTTATAGCAGTCAAAATATTTGGCTATTTTTATTATAATAAATATTGCTATTTCATTAGGGCCATAAAATTCTTTTTAATTAAGTAGTTAAAATTTTTTTGTTGTGGATGTAATACTGGTTGCGTTATGCGTTTTTTACGCATTTTGTCATAATTCTACAGAAACCGTACATTTTTTGTTGTGGAAGTGGTCAACAATATTTCCAGTAAATATTCTTTTAAATTTTTATATTAAAACATGGATCAATAACTAAATATATTAAAAGTTAGCGACATCTAGAAAAAATAGAGTAACCAAAATTAGTGTTGGGTGAAATCGAGTGGTTAAATATGTTTTTGTGTTTTGTACACATGTTTTTTAAGTATTAATATACTGTTTTAACGGGCAAACACATAATAAAGGGGTTATGTCTCGTAAAATTATGCCAGGTACTCTTATATGTATGTATAAGCCATTCCGGAAGTTCATGACTTGGTGTTCAATGAATAATGTATATTTATACGTTAATAAATATTTTTGTATTGAAAAAGTATTTGTAGTTGTGTATAGAGATGCGACTTGAAAAAAAACGGTCAGTTTTTTTGTTTTTTTTTTTCAGGTATTTTTTCATTGTTTTTTTTCTTCATATTTTAGGTTTTTTTCAAGATTAGTACCATTTGCCTAATTTAGGCATTCGTTAGGATTGAGCGTTGCACGTTTTTTATCTAAAAATCTCAAAACTAGAAACTGCAAATTGCTTTTTTACGGCTTCAATACGACCATTTTTAACAAAAATTTGGATTTTTTTTTATCCTTTAATTTTTTCCATTAGTGTAGAAGTTTTACATTGATATTGGTTTTTTATGTGGAAACTACCAAATAATAAGAAATGAGATTTTTTAGTCTTGGTCAAAATTTTCAATCATGAAAAATGTAATATATTCTACATTTCACTTTATTATTAATATTTTTTACTCAAAATTTCATTTTGAGAAATTACTCAATTTTTAAGATTAAAAAAAAACAAAAAAACCGTTTTTTTCTAGGTTTTTTTTTCATGTTTTTTTTCACATCTCTAATAGGTAATATGACGTTTATTTTGCCTTAGGTAAAATCAATTTATTGGTAAATATAATTTAAGTACTAATCGATTTTAGATGACGGTATTACCCTGTTTATTTCGTATTTAACCAGAACTAATAAGCGTCTAAAATTCCACATTGTTTGATAACAAAATTACCAAAAAAATTAATTGGTTTGACAACAAATATTCACATAGTGTTTTATTAATTATTCATCATTCATAATTAGTTATTTGTTTAATTATAAATACTGAAATTATTTATCATTAAAATTTGTTCTGGTGTTAGTTATCATTGCAATGGCCTATATTCTCGGTAACGTGTTGATAAATGTTTCTTTATTGTCGTAAAAAATGCCTTGATTACCTACCTATACAATAGAAATCTGCACATGCAATATTGATATTAATTTTTAGAGAACTCTCTAATTTTTTTTATGTCTATGGTTGTATTATATAACCATAGACATAAAAAATTAGAGAGTTTTCTACAACTTGTAAATGAAATAACATGGGTAATTTGTTCTATAAAGTTACCTGCGTGAATCCCGCTCTCCTTACGTCTTGGCCCTCTCGATTTACACTTTCGTCATGCCTGAGCATGGCCCTCTCGACTCTGGCCAAAGTCGGCGAATCCAAGATCCCCGGCACTTGGGTGCTCTTAGGCCTGACGGAAGCAGGATAAACGCACTCTGGTTGCACCAACATTTCCACAAAAATCACCGAGTTTATTAAAAAAAAAACTACTATTGTGATAATAGCTAGCACGTTTTTGTCGTAGTTAATTGTTGAACGCGCGCGCTCTGTATCGCAGTTGGCAGTGCACTGACGTTTTCGTGGATCTAGTTATCAGTGCACGCGTTCAGCGGTGGTGGGGGTAGAGGCAGCGTTGATGCCAAGGATGACACTTCTTGAAGAATTTTAAAAAAATACTGATTTTTTTTAGACTCAAATAGATAAAAAATATCATATAAGAATTTTTAATCTGCGAATTAAAAATATCATAGTAGATATTTAAAAAATTAATTTAATACATTTTGAAAATTTGAGCTTCACGGAGGTTAGGTTTTATAAAAAACATATGAATTATTTTTAAAAATACAATTGTACAGGGTGATCCCCTATAATGTCGCCCCCCTTTAACTTTTTTATTTTAAGTGTCCCAAAAAATTTAAAAGTGTGGTTATGTAGGACCTAAAAAATACTTTTTTTCTACGTAAAATAAAAATTGAAAAATTGATCAATATACAGGGAAAAACAAAAAGTTTATTTTTTTTCAATGGATCACCCTATATATGAATTTATTTTTCGATTCCTTGCAAAATTATGAGCATAATTTATATAACAAACCATATACCTAAATTCAACTGTTTCTGAAATATTCGCATTCGAAATGTTATCATTAAATGTTTTTTTAAACTGTTAGAAATCAAGAAGCCTCAGTATACCAAAATTTTTATTGAGAATAAATTACTATAGTGACATTATGTCAATATGTCTTGTTAAATAAGTAAAAATGGCGTACTCAGACAGGGAAAGACAAACTATTTCAAATTATTATCTTAAAAATAATTTAAATATTTCAGAAACGGTTGAATTTAGGTAAATGGTATGTTATATGAAATATGCTTAGAATTTTACAAGGAATCGAAAAATAAATACATATATAGGGTGATCCATTGAAAAAAAATAAACTTTTTGTTTTTCCCTGTATACTGATCAATTTTCCAATTTTTTTTATACGTAGAAAAAAAGTATTTTTTAGGTCCTACATAACCACACTTTTAAATTTTTTGAGACACTTAAAATAAAAAAGTTAAAGGGGGGCGACATTATAGGGGATCACCCTGTACATACATAAAATATTCATAAAAAAAATCTACTTACTGAGATATTACACTTCACGGTGGATAGGTTTTTAAATAGCAAATTAATTGATTATAAAACAGCAACACTCTCATCTGCATATAAATTCCAACTGACCTTCAGGAAACACATGCATCTATAATGTCGCAAACAGAGGTTTTTGCTTATTTAAAATGATTAAAGCGCATAAAATTTAAAGAAAAAGCAGATTCACGGAGGATAGAATCAATTTTTGTAACACCCACATAAATGGTTATAAAAATTATTTCTTTTAATTTTGAATAATATAGATTAGACTTTTAAAGACGTGATAATCACCCATACACAGAAATATAAGAAGCAAATATTTTAAATTAAGTTTGGAATACGAATTAAATCTAATTTTTAATTAATTAAGCGATTTGGTTTAAAAATAATCTGTTGATAAGAGATTTTGGGTTTTCCTGGTATGCGTAACTTTACAAGAATGTTGATGATAAGCACAATTATGAGGTTTTTAAATAAAATTATTTATTAAATAAATACAATTTTTTCTTTGTTTTAAAAAACTATTTATTTAAAATATCTTAAATCCATTCACCTAAACTTCACAGATTTTATGCGAATTTTTACGCTTTCTTGAATACGTATTTTTAAATGTTAATTTTTTATCTGCATTTTAACATTGTTTTTAACATGCTTGTTGGTTTTTAATGTTTAAATATTGCCAATGTTCACCAAAATAAATTTGATTTAATATTTTTACTTTATAGGGATAAAATTTGTTTTAAATATTTTTTCAAACTTTGTAAAAAAGGGTTTATTTGAATCATTGTTTTTAAAAACAATGTTTGAACGAAATAAAATACAGAAAATAAAAAACTGTTTGAGTTTGAGTCGCAAATTTATTTAATTCATTTAATTATAAAATAAAATAAACATATAATATTAATATATTTATAGTTCCTTATTTACTCTAGTAGACGCACGTAGACCTACTACAAATTAACTACATATCTTTCTATTGACATTTAAATTGAAATTCTATGGAAATCTAACTTAAACATCGTACATGGCCAAGGAATCACCAGACACTGCTTTTTGTTAATCACTCCTGTCATTACAGTAAACAAACAATCTTAGGCGCCATTTTATGATTATATTGGGGGTTGTAAACGTAAAATTCGGGACTTGACACTTATAATAATAATTTATGGTTATATTAGAGAGGATACCTACTTGATTTTTGTGAGTATTATAAGGGTTGACAATGGGAGTTACCAAATTTAAAATAAGAAGAAAAAAATATATTAAATGAGATTTTTTACCACTTTCTTATAAACTCTAATAACAAAGTCAAATATATAGGTATATAGGTAAAAAAACATAATTTTGTCAATTAATTAATTTAATCCTAATTGAGGTACACGGAAAAAAATATATAGTAAGACTTACTGTAAATACAGTCAAATTAACTATATTTTCTAATTAGTATTTGGACAACATTATGTAATGTTAATTTAACAGTATTTTTATTGTTAAAAAGTATTGCATATATAACGAACTAAGAATGTAAATTTTAATATTTTAGATTGTAGCCCTAACTATCCTGGATTGTAATAAGTACCATTCGTATAGTAAAATTAAATAACTTACTAAGTAGCATTAATTGTATTGACTAGTTAGATTAATTATCCTGGATTGTAATGGGTACCTTTTTATATAGTAAAATTAAATAACTTAGTAAGTACAGTTAAATATATTAACTAGTAATATTAAATATTCCGTATTGTAGTACGTACCATCTTATATAGCAAAATTAAATAACTCGGTGAGTTCAGTTAAATATATATTAACTAGTAAGATTAATTACCCTGTCTTGTAATACTTACCATCTTGTATATTAGGATTAATTATACAAATATTTTTAAGATTAAGGGGTTATTCAGGCAATAATAAACAACAAATAAATAAAAAAAACTTTTATTAACTTTGTTAAACATTATTTTTATATTTTATAAACATAATTTTTCGAAATATCATTTTAATAATTATTATTATTCTTTTCGATTATTTAAAATAATTTTATTTTATTACATAAATTTTAGGCGTTTTTTTAAATTTAGTTTTACTTTTTATTTGTTTATTAACATTTCGTATACAATAAAATATTTTGGTCCATAATAAAACACGACTATTTGGGTATTTAGTTTCATATCAAGTTTCATACTTTACGGAAGTATTAATCTTTATTTTGAGTTGGATAAGAGTGATTAGGTGTTTTCAAATATTTTTTTATTATTTATTTAAGTCCAAATAAAAAAATTAATCTTGTAATAATAAAATGAATTTAGTAATATTAAAAAACTAACCTTTAAATTTATCAATATATTCTTCCAGTTGCCACTCCGTTAAAATTTCGTCACGTACATTTTACTTCTATCCCTTAAAATCGTGTTAACATCCTTTTATACTCTGGTAACTATATACAGTGACCTGCAAAAGTATGACAAAAATTCATTTAAAAATTCCTTTTTTTTTTGTTCAAAAGAAAAATTCCTGAACACGTCGATTTTGTTTTTTAATTTCGTGCTAAATGTGCATTTTGATGTAAAATTTTCATGTTTGCCGCAATTTTTGTAGAAGCTATGACCCACACCAAATTTATAAGAGTTTATAATATTAAATAAAAAGTTTGCGGAAAAAGTTGGGTTCCCCCTAAGTAAGATAATTTAAATTTAATTAATACAATTTATAATTTACTATTACTTAACAATTGTTTATCGATAAATTTCAAAATTTATTAAAACAATTCAGATTTTATAACATTTAAAATTTTATTATCTTTCCTCAAAAAATTAAAAATGGTATAAAATGTGCATTATGCACCCTGCCACATTAATGTCAAAATGTATTAAAAAAATCTTGTATTATAATACAGTTGCCCCTGGAGAAAGTACGAAACGCCAATATGAATTATTATTATTTTGGAAATTTTGGCAAATAGAAAAAATTGTAAAAATAACTCATGTCATAATACCTTTTTTCGAACTCGTCCATTAGAAAACGACCGACGAAGGAGGTAAATTATCCCCGTGCTAAAAAATGACGTCTTTTGACATTAATTCTTTAATATCCCTATTGTAAATTTGAGGTTTCTTATTATTCTTATTGTTCTATTAAAATTTTAGTATTTACTAATATAAAGCAGAAGTTTAAACATTTTTTTTTATTGTTTATAACCCAATTACCCAATCTTACAGAGTTCAATAATAATTGCAACCGAAGAAACCACTTGCTTACACACAAAATTTGATTATATTTTTTTAAATGTAACCATAGATAAATGCCTAAAGATTTTTAAAGTTTAAGAATGTGATAATTTATCTGCCAGTTTATAAAATCTCTAAAAGTAGCAGTAAAATTACAAAATAAAGCAAAATTATTTATGATTTTATAGTACCTAACTAGTTAACTATAGATAAAAAACAACCCATCCCATCCATCTTGGAAGACTCGAGTCTTGACCGCACTAGTTACACAATTTATAGTACAAATCCATTTAGGTAAACTTAGTTATTTTTAATGATTAAATGCATTTTAACGTACCTTACAAGTTTTATGTCTCACTAATCCCTCTAGACACAACACAAACATAACCTCTTCCCAATACTTGTTGAACGCCTTTTGACCACCCCTGCCTTAATTATTATAGCGTGAGCGCGAGGCCCTTTGATTGGGCGCTGTATACGTTGCTTATAGCAACTTGCTATTGTTTAACACAGATGTCGCCCTTTTTATATTCATTTCCTATAAAAAATACAGTAAAAGTAACTAAATTTTACTGTAAAAATTCATTTATTAAAATTAACTAAACTATCTAGTTAAAGGTACTGGATATATAATAAAAGCCACAATAAAAAATTCAACAGTAATTTTACGTTTAACCGCAATAACCCATATGGTTAGATTGACTGAATTTTATATTTAGGCTTACTGTAAATTGTCAACAATAAAATATAACATTCCATTTTTTTCCGTGTATAAATAATGGTATTTAGTTATAATTAATTTGCAAACCTTTCGTTAAGCAGTCATTCTTAATGGATTTTAAACAGTGGAAGAAAAAATAGAAATGATTTTGATTTATGGAGAAGCAGGCAGGAATCTTGATGATGCCGTTAATATCTACGCTCAGCGTTTTTCGGATAAAATTCGATCGCGTACTTCATTTCACCGCACAGTCAAGCAGTTTACTACAAACGGGAGTGTTCAACCGAAAAAAGAGTTCGTCGAGCAACAGTCACAGGTGGAAATGATGAAATTAATGTGTTAGCAGCAACGGCCGCTTAATTTTTTTTCTTAATTTAGTTTTGGTGGCATTTGTTGCCTCCAAAATTCTTGCCTTTTGTTCAAATAATCCATAGTTTCCTTGATACATGTTTCAATTTTGTCATCATTTTCTTTAAATTTACACTTTATGTTTGGATTATTTATGAGGCTATCCAAATATTCCTTATCTTTCCCTAACTCTCTTAAAAGTCTACTGTCTTTTGTTGACTTTAACTTACGAACATTATTATTACTATTATTATTATTATTATTATTATTATTAATGGTAGTAGGGGTAGATATTTTACTGCTTCTAGATTTAGGAGTAGACTGTATAGATCCTGAATTACTTCTACTACTACCACTACTCGTAGGGTTAGAATCTAAAGATCCAACAATACTGGTAGTACCAGAGCTAACTCTCCCACCAAACCCTGACCCCAGGGCATTTTCTATGGCCTTCTGCGCCTTATGGACCCCCAATTTGAAGCCCTCATGATCAGGCCTGATGTGCAATCCCCTGTGGTAATACATAAGGCTGTGCTCAAAGTTTCCCAAATAATACATGGCTTCGGCTTTTTGATATATAGCTCTGAGAAATTTTGGGTCTTCTTTTAGGGCCGTTTCTGCGTCTATTAGGGCTTCCTCGGGTCGTCCCATCAGTATCAGGCATTTGCTGCGCGCCACCAAGGCGTTTTTGTCAAAGGGGTTCAGTTCCAAAGCCTAAAAGGAGAATTAATAAATTTTTTATAAAAAATGTGATGAAACTTAATTATTAAAAAATTTGAGAGTTAACTGAAATATAATTTTAATAATACTCAAATTAAATAAAAATGTATAAAAACATTTCTTAGAAAGCTAGAAAAGGAGAAAAGGAGAATTAATAAATTTTTTATAAAAAATGTGATGAAACTTAATTATTAAAAAATTTGAGAGTTAACTGAAATATAATTTTAATAATACTCAAATTAAATAAAAATGTATAAAAACATTTCTTAGAAAGCTAGAAAGAATCAATGAAATTTCAAACTTTTTAAAATTTTGTAAAAATGATTTAAAAAATATATCATCCAAATTATAAAACCTAAATTTCTTAATTTGGTTACAGAAACATTTATATCACTCTTATATACCCCTTAAAGAGCTTATTTGGGGAGTTTAAGAAGGAATGTATCAACCTTGAGCCCTCTTATATTGCTCATGGTAATTTTATATAACCTAATGTACTAGTTCAGTTTTATAGGACTATCTAAATTACTTAAAGTGTAAAGATGTTATAAAACTTTTGATAGGCAACCATCTAACCGCCATTTTTGCCTGCAGTAATAATGGTTTTAACGCAATGGAATTATATACCTAGAGTTTATAGTAACCTTATATGGCCATTATAAAACTAGTAAACTAAATGGCGATTTTATAAAACCTTATTAAACTCTTATATAACTTGACAAGACTTGACAGATTTATATCTATACAATTTTTTTTAAGAATATAATTGGAATACTTTTTGAAACAATCTTAATAAAAAACTTTTCTAATTTAAATGGCTATTACTTATGGTCGATTAAAAAACCAAACGCTTAATTTGTTCACTTTCTTGTTTTTGTTTTTTTCGCTTTGTTTTACTTGTACGCGAACGATTTAATATTCTGAGTGAGCTGTGGTCTGATTTTCTTTTCTGTGTTTTACATACTAAAACGATTTTTAAAAGAAAATGGTTTAGTGTGAATAAATATAGTGTGACGTAGCAATCGTTCTATTACTACTATATTTTATTTATTTTATCTGTTCCCTATTTAAACTTGCCATATGCAAATATTTTGATAATCTTCAGTTTATTTGCCATTTTATATAACAATATTGTAAAGTTTATTTTGATAAGGAAAATGTCAACACGCAGAGGAAGTTAGATTGTAGATAAACTACCCAAATATTATTGTATTTATTATTCAATAGTGATAGCGAAAGCATTTTAACAATTTGCACACCATATCCCAATATAATTTTCCCATGTACGTTTTTGAGTATAGCTTGAAATCTAATTAATCGATTTTGTCAAACAAGCCCTTAAATTGAAGGTATTTGAGCCCTCTAAAACTTTCTTTTACATACTTTTGATATCGGATCAGTATTTTGACGCTAGCGATTTTAATAACTTAAACAATTCGTTTTTATGGCAAAAATTGAGGTCGAAAATTTACATATCGTCCTGGGAAAGGTTTAAATCAAACAGATAACTCTAGTTTGAATTTTTTTTCGTGAAGCTGACATTTTTACAAAAAAAACAAGCTAATGTTGATAAAAATACATGGAAAAATGGCGAAGTTATGAATTTTTTAGTGGAAGACCAAAATTCAGCTTTTTGGCGATATTTATTTTATTTTTTTTATTTTATTTTGTAATATGTTTATTCTTTAATGAAAACCTAAATAAAGTGCATGGTTGGAATTTTTTTAGTTTTTTACGTACTTTTTTCATCGAAAACATTATTCAAAATTTAAATTTGACATGACTCCGCAAACGTAAATTCTTTTGTTTCTCGTGTTGGCATAGTGACATTTTACTGATATTTTTTGATATTTCAACGAGGTATTTTTATTATGGTTTTATTTAGTTAATAAAAAGTGTAAAATAAGTAAAAGAAGTAGAGAGTTCGAGTGCATAAATAACCCGCACAATCTGGGCGACGTAAGTGATGAGCACGGAGAACGTTTTCACCAGCAAATGAAGGCTATGGAGCGGCGGTATCACGGCTTCTGGGATGCAGCCATGATGGGTGATTACATTTGGTCCCTCATACTAGAAACGGAATAAGAAAGCAACAAAAACAAAGGAGCCAGAATTTTTTTAAACCTATGCTTTTACAACAAAATAAAACTTTCAATTTCTTCAATGTTCAATATTTATTGTTTAATATTCAATTTAAATTTTATATAATTCAATAAAATGAAGAAAAAACGTAAAAATTCTCAAAAAACTGAATTTTGCTCTTTCACTGAAAAATTCATAACTTCGCCATTTATCCATGGATTTTTATAAACAGCAGCTATTTATTTTTCCCTTAAGTATAATCTATACGTAAAATAAATCAAACTGGAATTATCTTTTCGATTTCTATCTTTCCCAGAAAGATATGTAAATTTTCGATTTTTGTAAAAAAAGGACTTTTTCAACTTCATAAAATCGCCAGTATCGAACTACCGAGCCGATACCAAAACTATACAAGAAAAAGTTGTAGAGGGCTCAATTACCTTTGATTTAAGTGCTTGTTTGGTGAAATCGATCAATAAGAACTCGAAGTATACTCTAAAACGTCAAAACACCTCAGAAAATATTGTTTCAAAACTGTTAAAATGGATTGAAAAACCAACCATTATTTTTTTACTTATAAATTTTATTATAAAACTGTTTCTTCCTTTTGTAAACTCAGCTGCCTTTGGCACATGCTAGAATGGCTCTAAACAGAAATAATTAGGTTTGTTATTGTCTCGGGCTTTTAAAAAAGACTATAACAAGAGACGTTTTGAATTAACAAGACGCAACAGATAAGTTGCCAAGTTTAAGTTAAATATAAAATGAATAAAGCGAGGCTTAATTAAATTTGGATGGAGTGGATTTCTTTGTCATTTTAATACAATAAACTGACAGACTCGCTAAATGCTGGATTTATTTTTGTATACTTACTATAAGTTGTCTCTAAAATGCCTGTACAAAATTATATTATATTATATTATTTTAGACCATAAATATTGTCCTTTTTCTTTTAAATTTAATTTCTTAATAATCGTTTGAAGCTGGCTATTGGACTCTGAATAAAATTTAAATATTCCTTCGCTTACCCCAGCATTCGGAAAATATTCAGATGTACTTGTGCGAGTGAATGAATCTTTAGGAACGTATAAAACGAAAAGCGAACGGAAAGGTTTCAAAGAGCTTTTGACATCGAATCAAAAGCAGCAAAAGCAATTTAATACAGGGCGTTCTGTAGATAAACACCTTTGAAATAAAGTTGAACGAGATTCGGAAGTCCCCTCTCCTCATTTCGTGCTTCCCCAGAGCTAGAAACGTGGCAGGCTCGGCTTCTTCCGGTATCTGCAGGATTTCCGATCTGTCCTGCTTCCGTTTCAGCTTCAACGACTGCTTGATGTCCTTGGATCCCAAGTTAACAGCGGCTGCGCGGTCCTTGTCGCAGTAGAGCTCCTCGTGACGAGTAGACCGACGTCTACGACGTTTGACTAAAATTTTATTTTGGGAGACACAAAGTGCTTAAAGTAGTGTAACTAAATCTATAAGAAAGAGTTGAACCTACACCTCGCCAAAGTTTTTTGTTTTGAGTGCGTTCCACCAACTTCAAATACCGACAGACAGCTGTTTCGACCTGTATTGGGTCTTATCAGTGTCGGCAACTTGGTGTAGTGAAACACACCCAAAACAAAAAAAACCTGAGCTTATATACTGCGTTGGTGAGCCAACAGAGGCGAGATGTAAGAACATCACGTGTCACGGTGCTGTTCTGAGAGGTGATTTTTGGACTTTCTGTGAAACCTAATTTTTTTTATATTCTTGTTAATTATGTCATAACTAAAATTTTAAGAGCAAAATAAAAAAAATTTGACGGTTTAAGTTGTTTGAATTGGCTGTTTATTAAAAATATTATGCACTCTTTCAATTATCCAATTAAAACTAGCGATTTAATTTAAATATTTAATATTTGCATAACTAAAAAAAAGGTTTTTACAATTTTTTTATATATTTTACTGTTTTGTTGCAATAAACTTTCAAACTTTTAATCTAACCTTTGACGTATACATTTATGTTCCCTTAATTAATATATCCTTAAAGGTTGCCATGAAACTTAGATCTATTAAAAATTTATTTGACGTTTGAATTGTCATTTTCAGTATACGTATTCTATAATTTTTGTTTAGTTTTTTTAAGTGTTTTTTATAAACAAAAATGAAAAATTGAAGTAAAAGTTACGAAGAAATTCATGAAATTTAACTAAGGACCGGTTTATTTATCTTTAGTAAAGTTTATCGGGCCGATAACTTTCATGTCTTGGCAATATCTAGTATCCAAAGAAATTATTCGTCAAATAAATCAAAAATGAATAAATCGGCCCTAAATAAAATGTGGCACCCTTAGAATTATTGTTTAATAAATGTATACTATACATTTAACCTTAAATTAAAACTTTAAACGTGTATTACAACAAAACAGTAAAAGGTATAAAAATGTATAGACCTTTTTTTAGGAAATTAACTAATCTTTAATCTGATTTAAAAAGTTATGATAATATTTAAATAAAATCGCAAGTTTTAATTGGAGAATTGAAAGTGTGCATACATATTTTTAATAAACATCCAATTAAAACAAAATTAACCGTCAATTTTTTTTTATTTTACTCTTAAAATTTTAGTTATGACCTAATTAACAAGAATATAAAAAAAATTAGGTTTCACAGAAAGTCCAAAAATCACCTCTCAGAACAGCACCGTGGTGTACATACTATGCAACCAAGATTGCACACGGCAAATTGTATCACAGATACTAATATCTAGAATTATTATATTTCTAATATTTGTTTAAAATATCACACATTTTACAGTGTCTCTAATGTTTCTCCCATAAAATACTCATTAAGACATTTTAGTACCTTTTTTCTTGAACTCTTTGCTTGCTGAAGAACCTTCTTGCTGCCTATTCGTATCGTCAAAAGTGACGTTTTTGGCCTTGGCAACGTCCCCTTCGTCCTTGTCGTCCTTTTTCGCTTCTTGCGGCAAGTTAATCCTTTCTTTGCCACCATTATCGACCTCAACGTCATCATCCACATTTACCCTGACGAAACTCTGCAGAAGTTCCGCCTCTCTCGCTACGTTCAGCCTGTTGACGTGCTGCTGAATCGAAGTGGCCATCACTTTTTGTTTACTTTACTGTTTCGCACAGGTAAATCTCGACGACGCTTTTTTGTTTAACAAGACCACTTGACGCAATTGACACTCTTCGCGTCGTTACCATGGCGATACTTGATAGCTAGATCAATTTTAGCGCTTCGAGTGTAAACATTCGAACACGGGCACAACACCCTCAGTTCAACAGGAACGTATCCAGTTTTTTATGAGAATTTCTAATTAGTTTGTTTGAGTCATTTTTCTATCATTTGTTGAAAACAGTAATATTTTATATTTAACCATTTGCACAATATTGCCAAGAAAAGAGTTGAAATCTGTTGTTAAAAATATTTCAAAAATACAATTTTTAAAATAATTCGTATAAATATAGTGTAAATTTGAGTTAGAATATAAATTTTACAATATTGGACAATTTGTTCAGAGGTGAAGCATCACACCACCTAAGATAACCAATGAAATGATTTCCCGCTTGAAATAAGACGCCGGCCGGTGGCTCAACTGCAATCTGCATCATCAGTTTGCAGTTTTAGTTGGTGTTAGGAAGTGTATCATTGTGAGGTTAGTACCACATTTCTGGTGAGTAATTATTGAATATTATTTTTCCGAATAGGTAGGTGTTTGCAAAATTGTTCAGGGACTGGGATAAATCAATCATTATGACCTGGTGATCAAATGAGGATAAAAAGTGTTTCTATGTTCCTGTGCTACATTATTGATCAACTTACTATTTACTTTAGTTTGAAATTGATGTTTTCAGTTTATATTAACTTAATTCTATCCTTACAAAATGTTTGTGTTGGTCGCTGAATACATATTTAATCTATCGACATTTGTACTATTATAAGTGGAGACGCACTTCATGTTGAATTGTATCTCAATATTATTAGAATTAGCTATATGAATTTTATTTTTCAGTTTGTAGTTTATGTTTTGTTATGTTTATTTTATGTTGTCTCTAGCACTTTTCTAAATTATTTTTCTTAGTGTAGACAACAAGTAAAAGAATCTCAAGCAATAAAGAAAAATCCTTTTAGCAATTTTCGCTGTTTATTTTCCTCTTAAAGATCATAATTTTGAAAGTTAATATTCAAAAGTAATATCGGATGGTCTAGCTGCATTTTCAGATGCATTTTTAATGTCTGGCGGTTCTTAGTGCTTTCATATTTCCTCACAATAAATGGGACCTTTTTACTTTTATCAATACTCGCAAATTGCTTCCTTCAGTTTATAAGAAATGTGTCTCACTTTTAAATTACTATACAGGGTGTACTGTTGTCTTTCTTCCTCTTGACTCTACTAAAAAAGTATCGACAAAATCTTCATTTAATTATGTACCAATACTATCACCACCATTAAATCTTTAAAACATTGCCTGCATGCAATGAGTGCATAAAATCCAAGGACCCAACACGAAGCGATTTACAGATATATACAGCTCCACCTACTACAATCAATTCCATGATTTACAAGTATTTTTGACGGTAGGTACTTAGAGTTTCGCCCGTTTCTATTTTGCCATTTCCCACTGAATTAAAGACAATAAATTGTCGGTAAGAAGCAGTGAAACTGCATAAAATTGCACACTACGTTTACTCTTTTAAAATGAATTAGTCAAAAATGACTAATTGTCATGGCTCACTAAACGCGAAAATCAAACTTACAATTTTTTTCATGGAAGCGTTTTCGAAATATGAATTTTCATTTTTTTTTGATTTTCTGAGGTGTTTTGACGTTTTAGAGTATACTTCGAGTTCTAATTGATCTATTTGACCAAACAAGCACTTAAATCAAAGGTAATTCAGCCCTCTACAACTTTCTCTTGTATAGTTTTGGTATCGGCTCAGTAGTTCGATACTGGCGATTTTATAAAGTTCAAAAAGTCCTTTTTTTACAAAAATCGAGGTCGAAAATTTACATATCTTTCTGGGAAAGATAGAAAAGATAATTCCAGTTTGATTTATTTTACGTATACATTATACTTAAAGGAGAAAAATAAGCTGCTGTTGATAAAAATCCATGGATAAATAGCGAAGTTATGAATTTTTACGTTTTTTCTTCATTTTATTGAACTATATAAAATTTAATATTGAACATTGATTTTTATTTTAAACATTAAATATTGAAATTAAATTATATATTGAATATTAAACGATAAATATTGAACATTGAAGAAATTGAAAGTTTTATTTTGTTATAATAAGCATAGGTTTATGGGGGACCAAATGTAATCACCCATCATGGCTGCATCCCAGAAGCCGTGATACCGCCGCTCCATAGCCTTCATTTGCTGGTGAAAACGTTCTCCGTGCTCATCACTTACGTCGCCCAGATTGTGCGGGTTATTTACGCACTCGAACTCTCCACTTCTTTTACTCATTTTACACTTTTTATTAACTAAATAAAACCATGATAAAAATACCTCGTTGAAATATCAAAAAATATCAGTAAAATGTCACTATGCCAACACGAGAAACAAAAGAATTCACGTTTGCGGAGTCATGTCAAATTTAAATTTTTAATAATGTTTTCGATGAAAAAAGTACGTAAAAAACTCAAAAAATTCCAATCATGCACTTTATTTAGGTTTTCATTAAAGAATAAACATATTACAAAATAAAATAAAAAAAATAAAATAAAAATCGTCAAAAAGCTGAATTTCGCCATTTTTCCATGTATTTTTATCAGCATTAGCTTGTTTTTTTTGTAAAAAATGTCAGCTGGACGAAAAATTTTTTAAACTGGAGTTATCTGTTTGATTTAAACCTCAATTTTTGCAATAAAGAGAAAATAATTTTCCGGCGTGTCAAGAATTATCGTCGAAGGTACAACTCGAGCTCCCTCTGGCAGCAGTTTAGACAGTTAAAAAGGGTCTAAAAAGTATTCCCTAACCCGAAGCAGTTAATGTTTTATGACATGTTATGTAGTTTATGATGCGATGTTTCTGATGAAATACACTCACAAGCAAAATAATCGATCCACACAAATTTTCGATGAATTTCAATCGCAAATAACTTTTTTTTTGATGTCAGATTTAAACGAATATTAAAGAATATTGTAGATAAATTAATGGGCAATCGCTCACATTTTAAAAAATAACTAAAAAATAGACGTACGTTTATAATATACAGATTTAAACAAAAATATGTTTTTTACCATAAGTTTAAGACACTCTGTAGAGTGGCAAAACCGTATATTGTTCTAAATTAAGTTTTATTTATCAAGTCACATCTATTCTTAACAGTTTTGTTTTTGGTTCACCTCGATATATTTATTTTTGTGGAAAATATGGATTTTTTAAAAAAACATTGCAGTTTCCATTATTTTTCTGTATGAAGAACTAAGGTTGGTATGGTCCATACATATGCTATGGAGAATGACAGCGACAGTTTTGTTGAATCATCCCATACTTGGACATGTCATACACGGCTTTCAAAAGCTATCAAATTGTTTTTTGCAAATTAATGTTTAAATTTTGAGGTGTCCTCTCACTTTAAAAAAATGGATATGTCCCCGACTGATGTTGCCAGAGCCATTAATTTAATCCAGGATGGACGGTCACAGTATTAAGTGGCAAGTGTTTTAAATGCCACAAGAAGTAAAGTACAAAGGGCAACTTCAGTCGGAGACATATTTAAAAGTAAGTGGTAAAATATACAGAGTGTCAACAAAAACCTACCTTGTTGTAGGCCACAAGCGCTTTAGGTAGATGCTCGCTCTTAACGTGACTGTTCGCTTCCTCAAACCAAAGTCTGGCTTCCTTCTCATGGCCGCGGGTTTTTGCCAGCGATTGCCGCTGTCGTTTTCTTTGATCGGCCATCGGGAAATTTCCTTCGAGGAAAATCTGCGGAAAAAACGAATTTTCGTCGTATTTATGCCGAGTAGGAGCGCACTCTAACAGGAAATGCAATAACAGCGATTTGTGTGCGGTGCAGCTCAGCTTGAGTTTGTTTGCTTTGAAATGAAAGAGGAAAAGCGAGTTTATAGAGGGAAATAATGCCTTTAATCTTTCTTTGTGCCACCGAGAAAATAATAATAATAAAAGCATGAAATATGCATTGTGTTTTTAAATTTTACGATCTGGTAGCTCTCATTGGGAAACATTTCTACTAATGTGGGAAGAAGAGAGTTTTGCATAATACCCGTTTTTGGTTTTTTACCGTGGAGTGGAGACTTTGTCAATTAACACTTTTAATAATAGATAACGCCGATTGAATTTAGACGACTTATTTGTTTTATGATTTTTACTGAGTTGAAATGTTTACAATTTTCACTTAAATCGTTACTAAAATGTGCATTTATTGTATCTAATAAGTACATTTTATATTTACAGGAACTATATGTAGTTTATTTCTAGTCTATTTAATTCAACTTTTAAGTAGCCAAAGAAAATGATATTGAACAAATGTTGTGTTTTTTGTGTTATAAAATTGTCTTAAAAAACCATTATTGTTAATGTTTAGTCTAAAAATAATAACTGAACGTTGTCCCGAAGTTTTCTTCACATGACCGTAGAAATGGTAAGTTAAAGTTCTTCGTATTTTTTTTATTAACATGACCGTCTATAGTGATAAAATAGCAACAAAAACAGTTATAAATTTCTCGCTATGTTTTTTTTGTTGTCGGTTGTTTACCGGTGGAAACTCTAACCTAAAATTCACAACATGGGGATACTTTTAATTTTGAGCAAATAAAAATGTGGGAAATCACACAAAAAAAATGCGACGGTCATGTTAAAAATTTGTTTATTTTTATTTAAAACCCTTTTAATTTTTATTTTTATGCACATAAAGCACTTTCTTCATAAGAAAATTCAATTAACGAAAACGAAATTTTGTGCTGAAATCCTATTATGTCTTTGACAAAGGCAGAAGCCGCACAGTGTTATAATTTTATAACAAAAAATAAATATTTTTATGCAATTCGTACATAAAAAATAAAAAAGATCAGAAGTTTCAATGACGAAAGATTAAAATATATATGTTTGATTAGAATGGAGCAATCCAACAAACATATTTTTTCTACTCCCACCTTTAAAACGCCCTTTATCGTACATGTTTCCATTACACT